AAACAAACAACCATGCCGTGCCATGTACCACCCACAGAACTTCATTAAAAGTTCAAGAGCCACTTCGGTTATCTGTGTTTTCAAGTAATTCTAATTTAGGCAGTGTTTTCTGCAGCATGCCTGCAGAAAGCTGTTCTGCGAACAGAGGTGAAGTGAGTGAACTGGCTGGTATGATATGAAGGATTGTGTGGTTCCAGTGGCACTGAAACTGTCAGGCTTTCTGGTGTACAGATGATCCTAGCCAGGCAGCCAGGAATGCTTACATCTGATAACAACCTTCATTTTATAAAAGGCAGGCCCTTTTTTCTTTGCATGGAGAGGAAGTAGCTATTTTGCTGCTGTTTGAAAAAAAAGTTAGTAAAGCTTTACTGGTGATTACTAGTATATGTTTTCATCTCTTGTGTCTGTTTTTTACCAAAAAAAATGTATGTTCTGGGTAACAACGTTCAAGATTGCGACAAGATACTAGCATTATGCAGACCCTGATGGTATTATCAACGGTTCATCCCCGGGGACTGTTCAGAGGGTGAGATTTGATGAAGTGTTCTTTTTCCGTTGCCTTGAAAAAGGTCCCTTTTTTCAGTGAGATAAACAAGTACTCAGTCCACCCTCTTCAGTGATCCTTGATAATAAGTAGAGTAGGTGTGGGGAGATGTTGAAATACCAGGGTTCTCTAGGGCATTGACCCCTTATCACATGATTTGCAAAGGCAAGGGAGGGTTCAGGACAAGTGAGTGGTTGGGGGGAGGGAGAAGAATTGTTATCGATCATATAAGAAAAAGACCTTTCATTAGTTATAATAACTTGTAGATCTTGTTTACAGCTAAACATACACAGCATTGCCAATATACCAACTTTATATCTAGATATCCACTGAGATACTTGTACTGAAACTTTCTGCTTTAAGTAATACAATCTTCATTATAATAATGTGCAGTATAATTCTTCCCCACCCCTCTCTACAGTATCTACTGATCAGTCCCTAATTAGACAAAATTGCTGACTATTCCGAAGACTTGCCAGTCAGGGTGCACACCAGCTGGCTTACAATCATCAGATTAGGCCACTAAAAAAAGAGGCTCTCATTTGCCTATCTTTACACTGAATTTTTATCAGAACTTCAGAATACCCAAGAATACCCATTATATAGCTCCGGACTACATTGAAAGCTTAGATATAACAGCATTTGACAGAGTAGAGCTGCAATAAGGCATTCCGGAAACAAGGAGATAATTTTGGAATAATAAGTCGAAGGTTGATTGAACAAGGTGACAAAAGGTGGTACTGAATTTTCCTCCTGTTTAGAAGGTGGGAGCCTTGACACTGACAGCTAGTTTTGTCTCCTCTAGTTTATGTCTGTCTAGAAAGATTGTGTCACTAGCCAGGATGCCAGACTGTTTTCAGGGCCTATGACAAAGTTAGGGCCTACTAAACTGATACACAGATACTTTCCACAGTTTAACAGCCACATTTTGCTACCCAGAAGTCAGACCTACGTGGTTTCTCCCCTCCCCATGCCCACATGAAGCATCACCACAGGGCCAGGTCACTACCCACAGTGCCCCTCTCCCCATGTTGTTAGAACAACTTCTCCCTGCTTCTGTTTTCCATCCGCTGACCTTTGCCCCCACAATGGAACCCGCCAGGGTCACCTTTCAAGGGGAAGGTCAAGAGGTGGCCAAGGAGCTTCAGTACCAATTTGGCTGTAATAAATTTCCAACTGCCAGATACTATAGACTGCTGTCAAGCGCTGCATTTGTGGCTACTACTGGATTGAAGAAGCTTTCCTGTAGAGCCCAGCATAGAGCCCAGGGTAGAGCTGGTTGCCTACACAAACATGAACAGAAGGGACTGCTCACTGGTCTAGCTTCAGCAAGAGTTGGAAGGAAAGATGAATCTTTCCACAAAGTGATGAATCTCAATTAACAAATAAATGTATGCGCTAACTGTTACACAATTCACAGCATATTTGAACAGTTTAGTGCATCTAGGATGTATTGAGAAATGACAAATGAATCCATTCTTTAATCTTTGGATGGTATATCAACTCAAAGATGTGCATGTGTGTTTTAATATATATATACTACTGCTACATGTATCAGGGAAATGTTGCATTATGTTTCAACATGTTTTTAAAGGTCAAACTTTTTTCTTGTTTCTGCAGGGGACAGTTGGGACGACCAGCGCTCCTCCAATCACCAGAGTGACCGGTGCATCACAGGTCAGTACCTGGGTTTTCTGAATACAAAATGGACCAAAAAAAATAACAAAAATTTAGGAACTAAACACTCAATAAAGATTCTTCTTGTTGTAAAAAAGGTACAAAGCTTTGGAACTAGAACACACAATGGAGTGTCTCACTGACACAAAGAGAAAATTTCTTATGTTGTTCAGACTTTGTGGAAAAAAAAGTTTGAGAAAAAGTTCTATTTTGCAACAACATGCTGTTATGCTATAGTAGCCACTTTGTTAAATCGAGCTGACGCATGTATCTATCACCCAAAAGGTTTTGTGAGTTGTTAAAAAGCATGAGTCAGTGTAGGTATTTGAGCAGTTACAATCCATACCCCATCACTAAATGACAAATGATAGGAATCTGGACTAATTTTGACACCGCTTGCAGCGTTTTTCGGCTTTGCCGGCTTTAGACAATTATCCTGCCTCCCCACTGAGTACATTATAACTAATAGCTGCTATTTTCCTACTTTTGTCCAATCGCGGGAAGGAAATTTAAAATTCCTATCCACACCTTTGCAGTCCGACTAGGTGCTTAAGGAAGGCCATAAAATAACAACCTGTTTTGGATACGACGGAGGTACTTATTTTCAGTAGGAGGTCCTTTGATTAAAGGAATTTATGGGAAGTGCTGTCAGTACTGATTTTACAACAAAGAAAATGTCATGTGATGGACTGTCTAAAAGTGTCCAAAAGAAAAGAGTACTTAGGGTGGAATCCTATGGATTTTTAGAGAAGAACCAAACCGTCAAAATGACTCAAATATGATAGATGGTGTAGCTTAGTAAGTATCAAACTTTGCGAGAAAGATATAAGTTCTTTGTAACTCTGGTTTGGGGGGAGAGTCTCTTTGTTACGTATTGTAAGCCTGTTTTTCGTGACTATCATAAAGAAGCTATACATTTTATTTCAACAACACATGTCACAGATGTAAGATATGGCTGATGTGAAATAGACACAAAGAACACTTAAGGAAGTGATTACTAGTATCATGCCAAAAATATATGATATTTTCCAACAATGTAATACACACACATGAAAGGTTGTTTCTTTGTGTATTGCAGTAGCCTGTGTGGAATTCAGTTACATCATCCATTTGTAATTCTATCTGGGTTAATTGAACAAAATTGACATGATTGAGGAGCAGGTAGTTCGTTAGTAAGTCATGCATTAATTACACACTGTTCCACCCAATTTTGTATGCCCTTTTACAGCCGTTTTGTTTTAATATGTGAAGCATTTTGCTGAATTCCGTGAAGTTTGGGGCATTGTTGCTTTGTTGGTGCTTTTGGCAGTGATACTGAAGAGAAAATGAACATTCCAAAGTGAATCATGAACAAGCTGTGGTCAACACACAGTCTCTCTCTCTCTCTCTCCCTTTGCCTCTTTGTTTCTTTCTCTCAATTCTATTGCATATTACTAGTAGCTGTAACAGACTAAGACTAGTAAGAGCATAGAGCCAGAAACATTACACCATCATCTCTTACCCTGTGCCTTGACAAGGGTATTTACTGTGATGCATACAATTTTCATTATAACTTTGATATAAGCCTTCCTTAGCATCATTCTATTAACTTTTGTTTTTAGTTTTGACATGTTTAAAGATGACTGAAAGTTTAAAACAATTTTCCAACAAAATCTACTATCGGTTTAAATTTATAGACAAGCCCCAGGTTAGGGTAAAGAGAAAGAAAACAGACTTTTATCTCCCTGTAGGCCAAAGGGCAGAGGCTGGTCACCGCCCTCATTAGACCTGGTTGGAATGAAATTTGATTGAAAATCAATCCATTTCAATCCAATGGGACTATAATTGAAATTTATTAGGACCACCCTTAATGATCAACAGGGTAAATGTTAGCTTTCTGGGGCAACAAAATCAAAACGGCGTGATTCAGAGGTCGTAATCAAATTAGAGATGTTACGATCCTTTTGTAGCAAGGTCATACTTGCATATGTGCAGGATCATTTTGCGATGATTAAAATCCAGAGACATGAATCGTACATGTAAATACTTCCAGAACTAAGGAGCTTTTATGTATAATTCATCATGTACAAGTATTGTCCTCTAGACAAGTTGTAGGAAAAAAATTTGAACACCTGAACCCTGTATTTATAACTGGTCTCTGCACAACGACTACATTTCAACCAATGACTTTTTCTGTCAATAAAAATTTTTAGTTCGGTGCACCAGTTCACCTATTTCCAGAACTGAATTTTGAGCTCTCTCCTTGTAGGTTTCAGTCCATCTGATAAAACTTCAGACATCTGTTTATGCCAGAGCTGAGATTGGCAGTGTCCAAGCTACTTTGGTCTGCAACTGTTTCAACTTGACAATTTGCATCTCTCCAACATCCCCCCACGTTTAGCAGGACTCATTAGGGGGTGGCCTGAGCTGGGTCCAGACATGTGGCCAACATTCTTCTGTTCTGACAAGGAACAGGTGTGATGGGGGCACGCTCAAGTTAACGCTTTGTTTTATGTTTCCCACGGTTAACTCATTGAGAAAAGTTGTGTTTTTACAAGTATTCATTTCTTTACTTGCTGATTATGCTTAGAGCCATATTCTGTCATGAATGAATACTAGATAGATGAAAAACCAGATAGCTGGCAACATTTTTCACTCACTCTTTTGCTCACTCACCCTCTCTCTCTCTCTCTCTCTCTCTC